CACGTTAAAAACGCATTTTGATGCCTCTTTAATGTTCTTGACAGATTATTACCTAAGATTTTAAACTGCGAAGTAGAAGTTACTAGGCATGCGTTGCGTTATAACAAAAACCTGAAACGAAAACAAGAATTGTCAAAAATCTCTTACTTTCGGAATATTGGCATTTTCGTATTAAAAAAGGTGTTGCGTAAATATAATTTTGAAAATTTGTGTTAAAAATTTATAGTACGAATAAAGGTGAGTACAAATACAACTTTAAAATGTCTTTTTTGGATTATTTGTCGAAAATATAGCGTTTTTAACCTACAAATTTTGAAGTTTGTGTAATTTTAAATAATAAATGGAATGTAAGTAAAAATTTATAATTACTTACACAGAACCACCTATTGCATTCGAAAATATGAACCTCCAGTTACAACTTTATAAAAATTCATCTGCCTTTATGCGCCTATAAGAGAGTTAGGCAAAAATGAAATAAGGTCGACAAAAATTACCCCAACCTGCTCATAAAAGTAATACCTATATTTTTTAAATTTGACAATAATTATTGTAGGTATTTAATACCTGGTATTTTAATATTGGTAATAAAATTGTTTTTTACTCCTATTACATAATATTGTTGTTTTAATATACCTTGTATATTATACAAAGTGCCCCATTAGGTTGACAATAGAATTAATATAATGTTACAGAAAAAAACATTTTTCATAAAAACTCTTGCTTGTTTCAAAAATATGATTCCTGTAAAAACATTTTGAATTGAATATTGAATGTACATTGTACAGGGTGCTCAGAAACTAAGAAAACCTAAAAACCTAGAAGTGCGTTATTTCTTTATGAAAATATCTGATGGTTTAAAATTTAGAATTCAATACAAAAATTAATTATATGTACAGGGTGCTCAAAAATTTAAAACAAAATATATCAAAATAAGATACAAGTAAAATTTTCGTATGGGAACCGCCAAAAATCATTCTTCATAAAAACTCCTGCTTGTTTCATAAAATGGGATTCATATACAAACGTTTTAATTAAATGTACAGGGTGCTCAGAAATTAAGAAAATCTAATAAGGTTTTTATGCGTTTTACGGAAAAATTACTTTTTTATAAAAACCTTTGATGGTTTAAAATTAATTATTAATTAAAAGGTGCGGGGTGCCCAGAAATAAAAAAAATAGGAACATGCTTCAAGAGGGTAGTACAATTTTTATATGGGATTCTAAAACAAGCAAGAGTAATTAAATCATAATACAAATTATAAGTTTTTCCTATTGTAAACCATTACGATATTGGCTAAAAAAAGCCAAAATGTGGTTAAAAAAAAATATGGTGTAATGTGGGGGATAAGTCAAAAAGTCAAATTTTTCAGCAGAACCTTAAACGTGTTCGCATTAATTCAGAAAATATATTTATGGTTAGCGAGTATACGCTCTTGCTAGCATATAACATGTGCTAGCAAAAGGGTAACCCACTAACATTAAATATATTTCCTAAATTAATGCGAACACGTTTAAGGTTCTGCTGAAAAATTTGACTTTTTGACTTATCCCCTTATGCCTTTTACCCACAGAAGTTTTAGCACTACCTGACTGACTTTTTATTGAACAACCTACTATTAACCACAACAAGCGAGGATACAGGATTTTATTCAGGGGGTGTAATTTTACTTATATCCTGAAAATTCGTTTTAAACAAAAAATTTGAAAAAGCTAGAGTTTGTTATCCATATCGTAAATTTTTGAAATTGGTCAAAATAAAGTGCTTCGATGGTGAGTCAGGGGGGTTAATTCCACCCATTGCCCCCCTGTATCCGCGCCGGTACTGCAGTATATAGAGTAATAAATTAAGGAATAAAAAATACACGAATATTGAAAAAAATCATTTTATATTATTTGGCTATACTTAGCCCCCCCCTTCCTCAATACCAAATATTTAAAAAAAAAATTATATTAGAAGTAAATTTAGCACGCCCAAAACATAAATAAGTCACGTGTTGGAAAAAATATTTACAGAATAATTTTTGCCGCGTAAATTTACCTCTCAGACCACTGTGAGGCAGTTCACTTTTTAATTTTTTATACGTTTTTTTTTTCAGAAAATGTGTTTAGCTAGCTTTATATGTCTCCACTGTGTTACCAATTTGAAATCAAAGATTTAATTCAATAAAAAAAGTTGTGATAAAAATAATTTGAAATAAAATGTACTTAGTTCACAAACTTTTGACTCCAATTTTTTATTTTATTTTTTATTAAAAATTGTATGCTTTTTTTTTAAATATGTATGTTCGTTAAGTTACTTTTTAAAAGAAACCATTTCGATTCTTTGTTAAAAAAAAACAATACCATTAATATTTTCTTTTGGTCACTGAATTAGTGAATTAAACTCTAATTTATAAACACGTATTACCAAGTGATAGTGTAAAAAAATCATTTTAAGTATTTTTTTTAACAAAAAAAAGTAACGAAATAGACATTGTTATCACAACGGACTGGGGTACACAAAGGACTTAATCAGATAACGTAAAAAAGAATCTATAAAGGGTGGTACGATTTTAGAGTAATGCATAAACAAAATCCCTTGTAGTGGTGCTCACTTGCAGAATAACAACTTAGATTTCTAAATTGTAGACACCCTTTTTCTTTGACTATAAGCTGGTGAAGGTCTTGCGTCCCTTTTAGTACTTGTATATTGCGTGGAATTTTTCCTTGGATGTAATCTATATCATGGGTTGTAATCACAAATAATTTTAAATTGGTTCATCATAAACTACTTTTAATAAAAGCGACGGTAAATATCCACTTTGTTTTTGAAAAATTCTATTGCGTTACCCTAAATTTCATTGCGTTACCATAAGGTAACATAATGGACTCTGTAACGCAGTGGAAAAAGTTTTGTGAAACCATGAAAATAATAATAAGACATTAAAGTCATAAATTACTCTCAATGAGCTTAAGTACCCTAAAATAAACATAAACATGAAAAATAGTATTTTTTCTTACCTTATTTTTATTATTTTTTTGAGTAACTTAGCGGACAAACAATTATTACATTTGCGTTACCCGCACCTGTTTCAACCGATATCTTCTTCCTGATTGAATAAATAAATTCGGCTGGGTAATGTGTACGTCCGAACATCATTTGTTGATCACGTGAGTGCCAAAAAAGTTGCCATATATATGTTTTTTAAATATTCTATCGGTAACGCGACGGACGTAACGCAACGGAAAAAATGTCTGGGACATGAGTTAAATTTAAAAAAAGTAGTTTAAAATTAATTATTTTTTATATAAATTGTTTACTGTATTAAATAAAGATGTTATGGATTGCTATAAAGCAACACAAAGTTCTGGTTATTCAATATTTAAAAAAACATGTATGTAAGTTTTATAAAACGCTAATGGGACATGCAAAAATGTGTGTTTCACAAGTTTCAAAATTAAAAAAAAATTATTCTGAAATAACTAAACAAACATTTTCTGAAAGAGTTTACTAAGGGCTTGTTAGGATTTCACTTGGTTGTTAAATCAATAAGATCCGATAATTTTTTACAATGTTATTGGAATTCAAACTTACGGTAAGCGGATTGAAAACGACCCACAAATGAAAAAAAATTAAAAATTAAAAATATTTAACATTTACATGGGCGATAATCACTTACGTGTTTACTATAGGTAGTGTTGACAATATAAACTTTAATTATTTAGGTACCTACTAATTATAAGCTATAGCTTAACCTTAAGGTTAACTAAACCGCGGTTTAGTTAACCTTAAGGTTCTCTTTACGTGTTCACTGAAGCGATTACGTTCCAGGGTTTAGTAAACTGTGTCCATTTATGGTTCAGTTAACCTTATAATTACCCGAGTCAAAATTAAGATCGTAATTTAAACCTTAAGTCTGACAATTTCCGTCTTAAACGGTTTTATATTCGCCTAAAGATAACCAACTTATGACCTAAAACATGGCAGATAAGTCCATTTTCCCGATTTTTCGGTTCTAATTACGTAATAAATTTAAACCAAAAATTTTATTAGAGGTTTAAATCAGTTTAAATCGGTTCAAATTAAGATTAATTCGGTTGTTCTAGTGCTAAATTGGAGTAAACAGACTGAACAGGTTTTAAATCAGTTTTGGTAGGTCAAAGTAGGTTTAAATTACGATTTAAATTTTGACTCGGGTAGTATAAATATGGCAGATTTAGCATTTGGAATTACACTTCGCTCCTGAAGATGCCAACATCTTTGGCGAAAAGTACTTTAAGCACTTTGGGTTTTGTTTTGGTGTTTGGGAATATTTCTAATATTTCTTTACTAAATTTTAGGTATGGTATTTTAATGTTTAATGGCTATTTATTTATTTTAAACGTTAAAGAACTATTTTAAAGATGTTATGACAAAAAAAAATAATATTTGTTAATATTAAGTTCTGAGGATTTAAAAGTTTAAATTTTTTGACAAACTGTCAACCATACCAAGTAATTTCACAACCGAGAAAGTGCGTTAATTTTGTGCCCATAACAACAATTTTAGATGCGAGGCATAGGAAAACAAAGCGTTGCCGGGATTTGTAAACTTAATTATTATTAATTAATTTTTTAATTTAACTCCCTACACTAAGATTCTCTTAAATTCATTAAAAGAGTTTTGATATTATTTATAAACAATATTTTTAGTATTAAAAAAAAGCTATAACAGTTTTTTGTTAGTTCAATCGTTTATTAAATATTTTTATTTATGAATGATTTAAGATTAAAACTTTTAAAGCGAAAATTAAGTTATTTAACTGTCTATAAAAACGAATGTTTTTGTTTTTTTTAATAAAATTAAAAAGAGGTGAATGAATCAACCTTAACGTACACCTGTGTGGGAGTGGATTGGTTAACACATTATGGCACAAAATAACAAAAAATAAAGTGTGGTCTATTTTTACTTCTCGAGTGGAGACACAGTATTTCGAAAATCTCAACTCTTCTCAGTTAATTTTCATGACGATAATAACCTGCGGTAGTCGATATAATTTACATAAATAAAGTATGTGTATAGAAAGTGCGGGTTTTAAAAGTATTTTAATTAAAAGTAAAGTTTATAAATTAAATTGCTAGTTTGGTAAGTTACCTTGTTTTAAGAATATGTATCCACCTTTAGAAACATTACGAACCCATTTTTAAATAAAACAACAATAAAATATAACAATGTAAAATAAATTTTATCTACTCCTACATTGACGAGCTGTGACTTTATGGCGTTTTAGTCACAGGCTGAAGTTAGCAATAGTGGCTTTTGGGAATTTTAGTCACGGGCAGATGTCAAATGTTTAACAAATAAAATTAGCTATAGATTCTTCTTTGTGCACATGTTCGTCGTAGATAAAGTATAGTATCCAACTCGTTTTATAAACTTATCTAGACACCCGTTATTATTTAACACTCGCTTGCAAGCTTCGCTCGTGCCTAATAAAACTAAAAATGTGAATAGTTCATTATCCCTGTTGTTAGGCGAGGCGGTTATAATGGTTACCATTATACATATGAAAAAACACAAATAATGTCAATAATTTGCAATAGGAGTAGGAAAAATATTGTATACAGTATTATAAAAAAACGTACGTATGAATCATAAACCTTAATTTGCTAAAATATGTTTATCTTTTCTGTTTAACTTTCAGTTTGAAAGAATAATTGCTGTATGTTTTTTAATTTGCTGGTTTAAAATTAATAAATGTTTACCAGGGTCTATTTAATTTTTTTTTAATATGTGAACCTTGGTATTTTTAATGCTTTTCTATGATTAACTTCAAAGTACTGCTACATTTTGTTTGTCAACTTTTCCAATTTAGATAGAGAACTGCTAAATGCAACTTTAGTTAAAAGGGTTTAGTAATTAAAATATATTTTAATTTAAGATCATTTATACGCTTGAAATGTATTTTAAAATAAAATATGTATTCAAGTTAAGGCAGCATAAAAATAACATGACATTTTGGGATCGGAGCATGCAGTATAAGTCGTTAAATATAATTAAAAAAGTAAAATGCCACTATTTATTTAAATTATAAATAAAAGACTTTTTATTGATTACACGGCAATTAATTTAGTCATAAATTTTACCACTGTTAAACAGCAATTAATTATCACAATTTATTTTTTTTCAGAGCAAACCACCCATCGATAAAGTAAATATGAGGTAAGAAATTACTAATTTATCAACAGTTCATTGCTTACATAGTGATCTACTTTAAGTACATAGTTAAATAAATGTTTTGACGCCTTCAAAATAAAACAAATTTAAACCTTTTTATTTCTATAATCAAATAAATACCTTACATTAAAATATTGATTTGTTCCTTAAAATGGCTTATATATTAAACAGTGCGCAAGTTAAAAGTCCCATGTTATCTTTTGAACGAAAAAAGGGTTTAAGTTTGGTCAAAAACCATTGTCAAGGATATTAAGTATATCTACTACTTTTTGACGTCAAATTAATGTTTAGGAAGAGGGTAGTATCAACTTAAAAATTGGAAAGGGGGCTGTGATTAAAAGGTATTCTCTATTCGATGCGAATTAACTTTTTAAAATCCGTTTAACGGTTCCTTTTGAGTTTTTCAAAGTAATACATTTTCTTGCCGCTCTATGCAGCTACACTGAAAAAAATAATAATTCAACTATTTATGCACTTTAAATACAAGCAATGGGTTTTGCACGTTTACTTAACCATCTAAAAATGTCAAATTGTATTGTTTAATTGAACAACAAATAACAGTCAAATGAACAAAATAAGAATATTTGTTCTAATCTGCTAATTTGGTTAATTTAACATTCTTAGGGTGTTAAGGTAAATTTCTTGAAATGTCCAGGTAACCTTTTTAGCATATTCACTTAACACCAATAAAATGTTAAATTAACATTCTGAAAATGTAAAATTCTTTAAAGGTTGGTGTCCAAAACAAAATTATGGAAATAATATATTATTATATATAAATAGAAAGAATTGAACCTTCACCTCGCCCAGAGTTTTTGTTTTGAGCGTGTTCCACCCATGATACATCTTTGTATCATGTGTTCCACCTACTTCAAATACCGACAGACTGTTTCGCCCTGTATTGAGGGTCTTAACAGTGTCGGGCAATATGGTGTAGTGAAAGTTCTACTGTGGAACACACCTTAAACAAACAGATATCTGATCTTATATACACCTAATCGTAAGCCAACTAAGGCGAGATGTAAGAAAACGTCATTGTCTAATGACGTGGCGTGAGTGTTCGAAGCGCCATTCTCGGCAATTTTATGAATGCAAATTTTACATTTTAAATTTTAAAGTAACATTTTAAATTTGTTAAATGAACAAATTTAAAGTTTTGGATTAAAGAGCAACTAAACCTTAATTTAATAGTTTTTTTAGGTAATCCTAAAAATTTCAGTAGTTGATTCAACAAATTCCAGCTATTAAATCAAAGTACGATAAAATTTTAATTCAAAATATTAGTTTATGTTAAATTAATATTTAAACTGTCAAATGAACAAATAAACTTTGACAAACTCTGACTTTTGCTTTAACACCAAAATATAGATTAATCCAATAGGTTTTTTTGTTGAAACAACATTTTTAAAAATGACATTTAGGCAAATGTTAACTCAACTACATTATTTTTTTCGGTGTACCTGCGTTGGCTGTTCGCTAAATCGGGCCTGGCGGTACAAATTATCACAAATCTGTATCACCATTTAATTTTTTTCTTTTGCTTTTTGTTTTGTAAAGAAACGTACCAGTGTAGTCTTAAGGCGGTTTATAAAATAATTGTACTCTTTAGTGTAACACCATTTAGTTGTGCCTGCAATTTTACTTTTTATTTCGTTTGAACGCTTGCCCCTTTTAAGAAAAAACAGAAGCAATTTTTATTTATGCTGAAGTTGAACGTAATTTGCACCAAACAGAGAGAGTATTTAATGAAAGGTACCTACCCAGACAACCCTATTTGCAGAAGTGTGTATGAGTAGGCAGAAAAGATCGGCTAGAAAATCAATCTCAGAAAACGAAAAAATAGAAAAAGCCGTTTCTGTCATCAATAATCCACAACAATAGACGGAGGCAGTTGCAGTGGATTGTGATATAGCAAAATCACATGTTAAAAAATATTTAAAACATATCAAATTACATGAATTATCATGAGTTAAAAATATTACATCAACTTACTGAAGATGCTCCGGATCGCAGGGTACAATTTTGTGATGGTATGTGTAAGCGTGTAAGAGTTAGAATATAATGGAGGGCAAGAAGCAGAAATAAATAAAAGAATAGGAAAATCAATAAACCTATACCACGATATGAAAAATAAATTTATACAGAAGAAAGAAATCTCAAAAAAAAAAACTTTTCAAAACAGTATTTAGACCAGTTTTAAAGTTTGGCTGCGAATCATGGGTATTTAATCAAGCACAAGAATCCAAAATAGTTGCAATAGAAATGAAGTTTCTAAGAGACATTAAAAGAGTCACAAGAATGGACAGAATTAGGAACACAGTTATAAGAGAAGAACTTGAAATTGAAGACACGATAGAATTTATACAGAAAAGACAACTAAGCTGGTGGGGACATCTACAGCGATTAGACAACAAAAGACAAGTAAAAAAGTATGAGAGGCAAAAATCGTCAAAAAAAGAAAGGAAGACCTAGGAAAAGCTGGAATAAAGCAATAACAGACACATTGGAAAAGAGAGGAATGACATGGACAATAGTAAAACACTAACCAAGAACAAAAAAGAATGGAGCAAATTCGTATATAGCTAGTATAACTAGCAAACCCTACACCACCAAGTGGTAAAAGGGAATTGATTATATATACAGGGTTCCCCATAATAGACTACCCATTTTATTTTATTAATAAATTCCCTACGAGATAACTAAATAAGTTGTTCTCTATGGGAATATCTTCTATAGTCTTTGGGATTTAAGTTAATTATTAATCAAGTAGGCGCCTGTCACAAATAAGTTTTAAATTAATAATTTTCTGGAACGTCATTTTTTTAACGAGAAGTTTGTTAGTTTTCATCAATAATTATTTAAATTATTATTATTATTTTTTTTGCTTTGAGACATTATTTCAACATCCGTTTGAACTTTCATGGATTACCCAGTCCAACAACGTGTGTTTTGTGTAGAAACTTACATAAGAAGCAATTCGATAGAAGTTAGGCGTGCATTCCGGCGTCAGTTTAATAACAACAATAGGGGTCACGCGACAAATCGTAAAACTGTTAAGTTATGGGTTCGTCATTGGCGTGAAAATGGTTCTGTACAAAATTTGAAGAAGCCTGGACGTCGTACACCAGAAAATATTGAACGAGTTAGAATTGCGTTTACGACTTTACCACTTTTTATCTAATATTGAAAAATGTGTTGAAGTTGGTGGAGGTCATTTAGAAGACGTGATTTTTAAAAGTTACACTGAAAGAAATATATGTTTGTTTTAGCAAATGTATGTGGTTCATATATGGACTACCACATACATTGCTAAAACAAACATATATTATATTTAGTTTTAACATAATATGTTAAAACTAAATATAAAAATGGTTAAGGTAAATATATTTTATGTTTCATATATAGACTACCACATACATTGCTAAAACAAACATATATTTCTTTCAGTGTAGAATTAAATTAGCCAAATATTTATAAGTTATCATAAATCCCAAAGAGTTAGCTGTAATTTAGTATAATAAAAAGTTTGTTTTGTTAACTAAAAAAAAATTAATTCAAATGTTAAAATGGGTAGCCTATTATGGGGAACCCTGTATATATGTAAGCGCTTAATACAAAATCCCCTATACTTGCAATGAATTTGTTTTAGTGATGAATGCATTTTTTTCTTTAATGGCATTTTAAATTGGCAAAATGTACGCTACTGGTCACATGTCAATCCTCATGTTTTTCGTGAAGGTCACAAAATGTGAATGAATGCGCAGCAGGTATCTTGTACTTAAACATATGTTTCAAACACAATTTCATCCAATGATTTAAGATATAGTTTAAGCTAATCCTGACGAATTTGACATGGAAATAATATTTCAACAAGATGAAGAGCCCGCACATTATTTAAGGCCTGATTTAAGGCCACTTGATTTTTTTGTGGGGTTATTTAAAATCGAAGGTCTATATCACCGATGCGGAATCAATAATAATCTAAAACAACGGATATTACGTGAATGTGCGAATATTACAGAAGAAAAGTTTGCAATTGTGAGAACTGAAATTAGGAACAGACTATTTTTTGTCAAAATGTCCAAGGGAAGCATTTTGAGTGAATAATTTGATGACTAATTGGAAATTTATTGTACTTAGTAAATGAAAACCTTATACTAAATAAATCAAAACAAAAATTTGATTTGATAATAATTTTTATTTCAACGATTAATAACTTTTCAACCATTATTTTGATTTTATATACGCGTTGAATAGGGAATCGAAATACCTTTCAAATGAGGTATCACAAGCCCTCCTTTTCCATTTGAATTCTACTGCCCTCTTGGCACTTCAGAACGATACTAGTCTTAGATCTAATGATGTAATGTAATTTGCCAAAAAACCTTTATGCGCTACGTCATATGGAACAACGAATCTCTTGCATCAGAAGGTTCGAGTTTATCTTAACAAGATCAAAATACCTTTATAGCCAATCTTGTTAAATCTTTAGTAGGTATCTGCTATTCCATTCTGAAATATCGGATAGGATTTTTAGAGAGGTATTGTCATAAAAAAGTACCGGACGACTCGACCAATATTTATATTCAACAATCTTTTTTAAAATACCATAATATTTTGACAAGCAAAATAAGTAGATTTAGGGTATTTCCATTGTAACGGGTGCGAAACTGAGACTGCGTTTATTCATGATTATAAAGTGTTTGTTCATATATATCAAGATATTTTAATATACAAAAATAGTATAAAAAATTAGGCATTTAACTCAAACAATATGTCAATAAAAATTTGTATAGAAAATCTGTTATAACGTCATGAATCGTAGCCAGCCGTAGGGCCCGACGGGCCCGGGCCCCCCCCCCGAAATTCCGTGATCCCTAAAATTTTCCTAAATATGTGAATCATGTTTTAAAAATATGTCTATCGATTACAAGCCATATTTTTTATGACAACTTCACGCTTTACTGGTATTTATCCATCAACCA